TTTTAATTGGGTGAGTAACAATGGTCGTGTAGAATGTTTTGGAGTAAAAAACTTATTTGGCTCAGAAAAGTGTCAAAGTTAAGTAAAATTTGCAACTTAAAATACTCAAGTAAAGTACAAATCCGGAAAAATCCTTCTTAAGTATACAGTTACAAAGTATTTATGCTTCATTACTTTACACTTCTTTAAGTGATTTATGTTACTGGACACATTTGTAACTAGTTCAACTGGCAAGAATCAGCTTGCAGGCTCATAAAATGGCTGTGTTAATGCACTGGTGTGTCCTCTAATCAATTAAATCAATTATATGATATCTGCAAAGGGCCGGTGTGTGTGCAGGTTTTTGGGATAACCATTAGGTCAGCTGCTCAAACCCAGGTGTGAGGACTCTTCAGCCAATCAGTCCACTAATTAGTAATCTAATTAGGGAGTTGCAGTGAAAACCCACATACACAGCGACCCTTTCTGGGTAAGATGGCCCACCCCTGGTATAAACGGATGGATGGAAGGATGATGGAAAACTTTAGTAAGAACTAAGGACTGTTTCTTGCTGACCATTGCTGACGTGGTTGTTTTATGTTCAAACAATAACATGATAATCTTTGGTATACAATTAAAGTCAAAAAGTTGACATACAAAATGCTGTTTTTGAAGTTATTTCTTCGGAGCTGCACACAACAACAACAACAACAAACAAACAAAGGACTTGGTTCATGAATGTGAAGCTTTGGTGTGATTCTTTGGATTTTTGGAGTCCAGGAGATTAGAAGGTTTGTACTTGCATGAGTGCAGCAGCAAGCTGACATGGGACCAAAAAAGTGGATCATTTACCCATTTGTACATTTTTTGCTCGTCTGGTTACAGGAACATCTTACTGTTCCAACCAAGGACAGTGATGCACCAGTGTTTGGGATCCCTGTGTTAGTGTCAGGAGGCGGTATCTGCTGCTTGAAAGATGATGTTCCTTTTCCGCTGTGGTTTTTGTGATTGATGGATTTGGGTTTTTGCCAGTATAGTCGCGCGTTGACTAACTGCCGCCCCAACCGACTCCCCCTGCTCTTTGCTCACATCTTCAGCATGAGATGACTGAAACCCTGTTTCCCCCACCAGTCGTTGTCCTCCCTTCCTGCAGTGCTCCCTCTGCCTAGCAACAGGAGCTGGTGGGTTATGTACCGCAAGCAATTTACAGGGCTTTGGTTGCTCTAACCCTGCTCCGTCCACGCGTAAATGGGACCATACCATGTAAGACAGAATGTGCAGAAGGTTGAGTGGCTCAGTGGCTGTGATTCCTTATTGGTTGTGTTTAGGTTTATTGTTTCTGATAGTCACACCAATGTATGTCCACCTTGGTACCGTACGACGGCATCAACAACAGCTGCATTTGCTTGGTGTGACATTTCTTATAGTTGTGGTGGTGGTGGAATAGGAATTTATCTGGAGTCCTAATTCTCTCAGCCCCCCCCCCCAGGTCAGGCCAGCAATGTGTCTGCTCTTCTCCCTTTCATTTACCACACTCCCTTTTCTCACTTTACCCTCTTGTCGTTCTCTTTTCTGGGGTATTTTCTCTTTCCAAATCCCATGTGTGGTCCCAATGAATCATTTAGTCCCACCTTTGTCCTTACAGAATCCAGTCTATGTGAACAAGTCCTCCTTCCTGGACCGGCAGTAGCTCACATGCTGCCCCCCCCCCCCCCCCCCCCCCCCCCCCCCCCCAGTGCCCATTCTAATCCATGGCACTGTCTAATGAGCCAGCACTGCATATCACATTTCCTCAGAGTTTCCTTGAACTTTTTTGTCGTTTCTCATGTTCTTCAAGATTTTTTTAGATTCGCTAAATGAACGTGATCAAAAGCTGCGATTGAGGTGTAGTGTTTTTGTGCGCATTGTGATATATTCTTATGTTTGAACCATGTTTTGGGGGGAAGTAAAAGAAGATGGTAACACAAAAGCAGCACACAGACTTGGGGTTGCACCCCAGCCCCCAGCCCCCCCCCACTCCCCCTTGTCATGCGAACTCCTTCCACTTACATGTCAGATTATGTCTTGCGTTCCAATATAAATATAACCTGAGTTAAACACAAGAGACATGTCAGTCCCCAACTGTGCAGCAGGAACAGCATGAAGCACAATCAGCCTCCTCCTCCCATGCTCCCTCCGTTCTCCGTCTCTTTTGAAGCATTTGTGGGTTTCCAAATCCTCCCAGTAGACGCAGACAGCTTCTTTTTATTATCCATATACCCTCAAAGCACCAAAGATCTCTGACAGTTTTTGATGATTTGGTGCATGTGCGGCTGGGGAGTTTGCACACTGCCTCGCCCCACTGTTAGCATGAATGACCTCATGGCGGGGGAATATTTAGATGCTGGGTCTCAACTGGAAGCAAGGGGCTTGGGGACAAGGACAGGGCTCGTGTTTCCTGTACTCCTGAAGTCACAGCTTCAGATGCTGATGCTTCAGCCTGTGGAGGACCTAACAGTGATCACCAGGACTGAATTCGGCCAGCGTTGTTGGTCCTGGTCTCCCATAGAGAGCATTACCTGGAACTGGATCTTAAGGTGTCCCAGTCCTCTGTTGCCTTGCTGTAAATACTGCACCATCTCAACTGCCCGTTGTCTCTGTGGCTTCATATTTCAATGATCAATTTGCATCTGTTGCATTACGATTAAGGATTTCATTTGAAGAAAAAAAATAAAATAAAACTGTTCTGTTGAAGGAGAGATGAGATACAGAAACACATGGATTGGGGTTCAGCATATTTCACTGCAGCGTTGCGTTCAAAAGGTTTCAGTTGCATCAGAAGCCGGTTGTGTACTAACTTGGGGTGAAGGGTTTAGTGTAGTCAAGCTTCTGAACTTAAAATTCAAAAGGAAAACACCACTTTTAATTATTCACGTTTTCTGCATACAGTTTTCCTGACGCTCCAGGTCAGGAGTGGCCATGGGATTCGCAAGAGTAAACTTTGGACTCAAGTGACCTGAATGGCAAGATTGTTGTTACACCAGTGATGGTAAATGTGCATAATCTCTACAAACAGCTTTCATATCAGGAATTTAGATTATTATAGTTCTATCTTGTAATTGAAGAGATGATAACCTATACAGCTAGTGTTAGCAGAACATAATTCCCGTCGGTATTGTGTGGGGTTACTGTGTGATGGTTGC